AGAGCTGAGACAGCCTCTTCAGTTTGAAGAATATTGAGAAAGTAATAAGAAATAATATATTATGGAATGAATTAATGGGCAATATTCACCCGTACGTACGAGGTACAAGCTGTTCTTGTATTCTTTATAGTACAATGAACTGTATAACAATTAAAAGTACATACTGTAAAAGATGTGTAAAAATATTTCGTTCACTCGCCAAGTTAAACATTTTATATGACACTTTTATGCAAAATAGCAATCCACAGTACGAAATAATAACTATCAAAAGGAAGGTTGCTTTGTTGAGACCGCACGGTCACCACATTGGCGCAAGGCAAAATGCAACAATTGCATGGGAGAGAGTAAAATCGTATCAAATAGTACAACAATATAATTTCCATAACAAATTACAAACTAGTATTAATAGCTCCTTTCCTTCCACTATCACAACCTGGCAACAGAACGTTGACCTTTAACCTCGAATGCAGTGGAGTTCGTATCTCTGCGGGGCAAAATGATCGTAAAACGCTTGAAGGGACCCTGGATGCTCGGGATAGTAGGTGGTTTAAATCGTTCCTTAATAAGCGAACTTCATAGGAACACACAGATTTCATTTATACCGTTCGGGTTTGACAAACTCGCCATCAACTGCATTCCATAGGCTCTCGCAGACGTTCTTTTTAACCCGTTCGGTTTTACTCACATCCTGCATAAGCGAACCCCGCACATGGTGAAGTTATACCCGTTTTTATTTGTGAATCTCACGATTCCCTGTACCCCTTCGGCTTCCGCGGAAGTCGATTTTGACCCGTTCGGCACCTGCATGGTCCCCTTACGCCTCCACAGAATCCAATTACCCGTTCGGGTTTGTGCATCTCATTAGCCGTAACCTGTATACTCCCACAAACATCCGTGTGGGGTGTGATTAACCGCACCTCTAGAGAGTCCGTTTTATCCGTTCGAGTTTGCACTCGTGGGCTTAAACAAACTTTAAAGAAATCAAAAAACGGCCCCGAAGAAAATCTGGAGCCTTCAGATTTCGGTAGTGCCAGTTTTCATGCGCAGGTTTTTGACCTTTGGTTGGTCGGGCTGCTTAAGTGACACATATCCGAAATGGATAGGTGCCCCCTTCGGGTCTCCAGTTTGTCTAGGGCAGGCCTGCCTCGCGGGTACCTCTCTCAGCCCTCTCCAAGTTAACAGCTTTTTCTGACGCACTTAATTTTGGAGGACACCGTTATTTGCCATTTTATGTTTTACAGAAATGTTTATCCTTTGCATTGCGTTCGACTTCTGTTGGTCCATGCAATGTCCATGCGGTCCATGCAGTCTATGCGGTCTTTCTATTAGGGATTTTCGAGGTTTATATGTCGTTTTACATCATGTATCGTAGCCTATTAATGGTTTGTAAATTGTTCCTTTATTAGACAGCTTCGGTTTTTAACCTTAATAACCTCATCTCTACTTACCGACTTAAAAACGAACTCGCAGACTTCACGCAGTATTTGCAGTGCCTTAAGGTAGAAATTATAAATTAAATCTCTGAGAGTTGAGACACAAATGGAACTTAATTTTTGAGCCTAATATACTCTTTGCAACGTTCAATTATAACAGAACAATGTTGCGTGTATATCACATGCTTACAAGAATGAATGATTCATCTAGTTTTTAAACGAGTTAGAACACTTTCCTCAAAACCAGATACAACAGCTGGCTTTATTACATCGCTTGGTGTAGTTACAAAACTTGATAGATCATAATGATGTTATTTTTAATTTCAAAATGTCGCTAATACTACACGACATTTGGTTCAGGCTTATGTCCATCTCGCTCAATTTTCAAAAAATGGAAAAACATTTATGTATTTTGTTATGTTTTTGGGTCTCCTAAATATTTATAAGAAAGTGCTGTATCTGGTTGACTAGATGACTCATATGATTACAAATAGAACGATATTGCTTGTAAATCACATGAAAAACTACAAAAAATACTTTGACCTCCAGCTGTACAACTCATCTCACTTTTTCTTGCCTCTCACGCTTTCATACTTCTCAACTATTTTTCCTTTTCCTAAATATAAGTGATTGTGCAACAACGAATCACCGTCGCCGATGATCCAAAGCTCCTGAGAATATTATTAAATAGTGAAGAAGAATGGAAAGATCTCAAAAATATGAAGAGAAGTTTGTACAATATATACATCCTTAATGTTAACACTTTGCTGCAAGGCAGTTTGTAACCAAACAGCGCCACACACTCCACGCTAAAGCGCATAGAGTGAAGGCTCATTCACAATGAAACACAAACGTAACATACCACAAAACTTGGTTCCATACATAATAGTTTGCAAACTGCAAAGATTTCACGTTCATATTAACATATCTGAGACCAACAAACTCTGGTGTTCTGTAGCGAACTCCAAAGAACGTCTAGCGTTTCCGTTAAAGTTAACGCAGGTTATACAAGAGTATGAATTGTAATTCATAAGAATAATTACCCCATGGAATCATTCGAGACACCCATGGTACACGTAATCATTCTCACCCTATCACAATTGCATCCAATTTACGTCATGTAATTTCCATGAACGCCAGTGCTGACTTTTTATTGTAATGAAATCGATGAGTGTCTTTGCTCATATTTGCGATCGCAGTATTTGTGAATGGTACGGCCATGTTTCGGATAAAACATGTTTACTTCCTCACGTGTACGTTAACGTTTTCATTGTGACTGGCCCTTAAGGGCACGGGCACGCCAAAGGTGCTTCGCCACTCGCGTTGAAGATCGATATATCGATGTCACCTCGCTTTAAACAATCCCATCGAAATGGATATTGCCGTGCTCGCAGACGTTCACCCTTGACACTTGTATCGATTGAAAAACAAAGTGATTGAGAGTTTTTGAACATCGTATCGTGAAACAATAAGATATACCTTACAAGAAACCTCGCAACTTACTTGCAGTCTTAAAAGAATATTACACAGCGCTTTCGTGAGGCTGAGATAAATGAAAGTAGTTTTGAACCGTTTTGAGAGAACTTCAAATTCCCATAATGAAACCTTTTTTGATTCACATTTGTTCAATTAGAGCAGAAAATCATTACGATATTGCATCATGGAATCACTCTGCCTCCACAAACTCAGTGATGCAGAACGCAATGTAAACATCGAAATCTATCCTGAGCGGTGATGATGGAAAAATGGAAGCCATCTCACTCAACTTAATATATTTACTTAGTGGAATAGGCTTTCGACGGCTTTGTCGCCATCATCAGTCTCGCTGTATGTAGTAAAAGTCAGGACACAGCAAGACTGATTATGACGGCAAATCAGTCAAAAGCCAGCTCTCCATATAAATCTTTAAAACTAACGAAGTGACTTCTCTTTATTCCATCATGTAATTACGTAAACAAGACCGTATCAGTATTCCCACAATTCCGAACGGCGAGGCAACTTTCCCATGCCCGTGCCCGGGGCGCGAGTACATTTTGGCTCTGCAACTCGGCTTGCATTGAGCTTCCGCTTAATAATTCCTCAAGTCTCCTCCGTACGTTTTTTTTGTTACTGTGTCTGAATTATTGAGTGCGCTTCATACCTACGGAACTCTGATTACTGAATTATGAATGCAGTGTAAAATGAATATGACAGTCAAGTGGAAAAAATGTAAATTATCGGCATCATTTTGACGCCGATTCTTAAGTTGCATTGTAAACAATGTTTCAAACACATGGAGATAGAAAGGCACAAAGATGTTTAAAATAATAATGAAAGGTTAATTTACTCACACTTTTCAAAGGCTTGAATTGATTCAATATGAAATGGTATAATACGCACAAAATATTCACATGTGACATTTCTAAACTATTTTATATTTTGATAATACCAAAAATTGTATAATTATGGTTTTCCCTTTATCCCACTTTAATCGCAATTAACTTATTTTAACACAATTTCTCCACTATACTTCAACTTCATTGACTGAAGTGAATTGACGGGCTAAAAAACTACACGTTTTCCTGTACGGTCACGTAGGCTTATCATGTTCTCCATCCATATTTGTAGAGATGAGCGCCTCAGCAACAGAAATCAGTTGAGAATTAGTTGAGACGTAAGGTACTGCTTGGCAAAAAGATAAAAACGGCGAACACAAAACATGAAGCACGGGTCGATTTTCTATGGTCCCAGTTGCAGCATTGGCTGAGCAAACCTCATGAAATGGCAACGCTGCAATATTCCTCCAAACTTATAGCCCAGGGTGCTCCGACTTACATAAACCGCCATGCATACAAAAGTTCAGCTCCACTTCTTTGTATTTAGTGTGCATATTACGGCTCACGCATGCGGAAGTAACCGTCAACACACTGCACAAGGAGTTTTGACAGGTATTAGGAAACTCAAATACTCGATCATTTTATACATTCAACTCATTTTTATACAATCAGTACACAAAAATATCTCTTCATAATCATCACTTAATTCGAATATTTCATTCACACCGGCAATTATTATTACATGCTTTTAATGGAGATTTTAACTCTCGTATCTGTTACCCGGAGAACTAAAGTTTGCCCTAAAATTTGTGTTCACATAGGACAAGTGTCGAAGCACCCTGCACTTAACTCGACTCCCAACATCGCTCGTTGTCCCGTTAAAGAGAGATTACTCTAAAAAGGGACCGCTTTGACAGCTACTGTTTGGCCACTGCTGGCAACATAACTGAGGTTATGACCATGCACTCATTTTGTCACTGAGTTCGTTTACAGTTAGCTCACTTGTAAATCATCACCACCTCTGGCAATGTCATCGCCCTGCATGATGTTCGTTTGTTTCTCGACCGGTCAAGGCGGTCCCTCCTTAGAGCAACTCCTCCACACAAGCAGCCGACCAGTGCAATTCGCGGCAACGAACAAGGCGTCTCGCGCTCGGTCTCGCTCGCCACTTGCACCTGCAGCGAGGAAGCAAAGAATCGCTGAAGCCGAACGGATGAACGAAGGAGGTGGATGTGAAGGAAGGCACGGCGTCCCCGGCGACCGACGCAGCAACGGAAGGAAGAAGCACCAGTCGGCGGCGGCGGCGGCGGCGGCGGCCGCTCAGATGATGCACGGCACCACCGACCGCTCCACCAGCTCCCGGTAGAAACTGTACACCACCAGGATGAAGTACGTGCTCAGCGCTGCAACACAGCCGCCTCACGTTGCGGATTAACTCTGAGTGGGTGGGTGAGAGAGTGAGTGACAGCAATTGACTGGATGTATGTGCGAGTGAGAATGTGTGAGTGAGTGAATGAAGAGTGAGTAAGTGTGTACGTGAATGAGTAAGTGTGTACGTGAATGAGTAAGTGTGTACGTGAATGAGTAAGTGTGGAAGTGATTGAGTAAGCGAGCGGGTGGGTGAGTGATGAGGGGATGAATGAATGAATGAGTGAGTGAGTGAGTGAGTGAGTGAATCAGTGACAGAATAAGGGAGTGGTAAGCGAGTGAATGAATGTATGAGTGGGTGAGTGAATGAGTGTGTGTGTAAATGAAAGGGTGAGTGGTTGGAGCTTGAAATATTGAAAGAAAGGATTTATAACAGGTATGGAATAAAATAATTTGTGTTGTTATTTAATGCGACGTCATACCACGTGACAATAACGGGATGTAGGAAACAAAATTCAAGAAGACAAGTTAATGTGATTGTACAAAGAATGTTGCATATTTTGAGCAAACAATATTAATGTTAATGAGCATAAAATAACAAATAATCTAAAGAAAAATGCTTTAAATAAAAATTAATAACTAAAATAAAAATTGAAATAGAAAAACGTAAATAAAAGTATTCAAACACTAAAGATATATACGTTTATAAGCACTTTTTGATTTTTTCAATTAAAAAATTCTTAAAGTCGATGATTGAAACATTCAATTTTTAATCAACGAAATATTTGAACATTTTGAGAATTAAAAGTTTAAAGAGTGGAAAATTCAAAAAGTGATTTACCAAATGGTAAAAAATTTTAAATGTGAAAAATTCGAAACGTGGAAAATTTTGAATGTCGAAAATTTAGAATGTGTGAAAATTCGAAATGTGGAAATCCGAATTGTGAAAATCCGAAATGTGAAAATCCGAAATGTAGAAAATTCGAAATGTAGAAAATTCGAAATGTAGAAAATTCGAAATGTGGAAAATTTGAAATGTGGAAAATTCAGAAAGTGGAAAAGTCGAAATGTAAAAATTTGAAAAGTGGAAAATTTGAAAAGTGGAAAATTTGAAAAGTGGAAAATTCGATTTGTAAAGAACAAGAAGGCTCACCGGTGGTGCCGAGGATGCCGACAAGGATGGCGTAGCCGACCTTGCGGTGGCCGCCGAGCGCGAAGGTGAGCACGGCGAGGCCGAAGTAGACGGCGACGATGGCGCTGGTGAGCACCATGGAGAAGAGCACCCAGGGCTTGACGAGGCGCGGGTTCTCGTAGTCGGCGCCGTACAGCAGCAGCACGCTCAGCACCAGCTGCAGCGCGCCGGCCACGCTCAGCGCCGCGCACAGGCCGCGCTGGCCCTGCACCAGCTGGCGCGCACCGCCGTCGTCGGCCTCCGGC